AGCCGACTCACAGCCGAACACCAGGGTCCTTAGGCAAAGGTTAAGTCGGTAGTTATGGAAAGAATGATTTGCTTGAACAGAAAGGCTCCTCATGAATACAAGGCCTTTGTAACAGCAGGGGTCTCCTTGGGAGTAGACCTTCTCCCTTACCAACTGCCATGGCCTGTTGGGGGAGGCCCACGTGAGACTCTTACTTTTGTAAAGTATTCCCCCCCCACCAACCCCCACCCCAATCAGGAAAAAAAAAGTCGGGGGAAGAGAGGAATAGACATGCCACAGGTATTTTGCCAGATTAATCTAAATCCATTAGCTTCTTCAAAGAAAAACAAAGCTCCTGATCAAAGATATTTAGCAGTACAGTAGGGGACCCCCCGTATCCGTGGGATCAGTATCTACTGTTTCCAGATATTAAAAGAAAATATATATCCAGAAAAATGTATTCACCTATTGTAACTACCAGAACTAGCCCTTAGAGGGAGAAAAGGCCACACTCTGTATATAAGGTACACTGTGAGCCATAGGTTTTCGGCATCCATGCTGGGAGGGAGGGGGGGCTTGGAACCGATCCCCCATGGACACGGGTGTGTGTGTGTGTCCTATTGCATCTATGAAACAGAACTTCTACTAGTCGAAGCCTGACTTTCTCTCAGGTTATAAGATAAATCCTGGTCCAAGTTTCCAGGTCTTGTTCACTCAGGACCAGTTGTGCTCACCCAGCCCGGAAGGGGAGTTCTTTTTTTCCTCCAGATCTGAGCCCGAGGAAATGGTCTGGATGTCGTCGCTGTCGTTGGCATTGCCTGGCGCCTGCCCGGAGGTCCCTCGGCCATTGTCTCCCTCGCTGTCGGTGCTGCTCGATAGCATGAGGATGTCCTGCCCAGAAAAGGGGAGAGACGGCGTGCTTTTACCAGCGAGCAAAGCCAGCACTTGGCAAACTTACAAATCTGCCTGTACTTGAAGATTGGTTTTACGGGACGTTTACTACTGTCCCGCTGCTGATCATAAGCTTTTATGGTGTATATATAAAAATTCAGTAACTAGTGCTTTCAAAGAGACATCTGTCTATACTACTATCTAAATAGATCAATTTAAGGGCAGACATTCAAACATGGATTTTTAGAGGCACTGTTCTCCGCATTTTTCAGGCTCTGAATGTTTTTTTAATTATAAAAGCAGAATTTAAAAATCAGCAAAGATATATAACATTAATTTGTTATCTTTTTTTTAAAAAAGGTGGAATAGACTTCAATTCCCATTGTTTACATGATCAGAATACTTATTTTATTTTTAACATGCCTAATTCATGCCTGCAGCTTTAAAATGTCACAGACACTTACGTCTTTGGTGGGCTGCGGATGGTCGGACTGCCTTCGGTTCTGATGCAAGGCTGTTTTGCTGACCGGCCTCCGGACCCCTTCAGGTATTGTTGGGTTAGGGTTGTAGCCATATAACCTGCCTAGATTGCCCACTCTGGGAGCATGAAATAGGGGGTTAGCCTTCTGGAGTTAGCAGTGGGATAGGCTTCCTAGCAACCACCTTCCACAGATGCTAGAGTACCTCTTAAACACAAGATGCCAGCAAGCCAGAATAATGACACAAACGGAAAGCTAGTCAGCAAACGACAGATACAGAAAAGATCTAACCCACCCTGCTAAATCTAAAGGACAAGTTCTTTCATCTTGATTGCGAAAAGGCTCCCCAGTCAAGACAAAAGGGGAGGAAAAAAACCTTCTCTGCTTCTAGAAGGAACAAAAAAGACAAAAGGGGAGGAAAAAACCTTCTCTGCTTCTAGAAGGAACACATATCAGGAATAATGACATACTTGTTATCTATTTGCAGGGAGCTTTTTTGAAGCATTCAGAAAGAAATGCTTGTACCTAGATCAGTATACAACATCCTAGTTGATTCTGTCAAAAACCAGATCTCAGCTTCCCAGACAAGAAGAGGGATCAAAAGAGGTGAAAACTTACAGAGACATTTTGCCGTGGTCTTCAGATTCCTAGAAAAAAGGAGGAGAAATGTTACACGCACAAACACACACGTTTTGGAAGAAGTCCTACATCTGGAGAAGCTTGCTTGTTCGGCACAACGTCAAAAAGAAAGGGAGGTTTCCCTCTGTCACACACCCCTGTTACCTCTTTCTTCTTGACCTTCAGGTCACCCTCCGGGATGAACTCCTCTTTCCCAGCCACCCCGGTCCTCTCGCTCTCCGCCGGCTCGGCCTTGGCAGGTGGCGGTGGCAGCTCCTGTGCCCGAAAGGAGGACCGGCTGTCGCTGTCCTGAAAGCCGTCGGCCAGGGTATTGGAGCTGAGCCAGGAGGCCACCTTGTTCTTGGAGGTCTCCTCCGAGAGCGGGGGCTTGCAGGGGGCGGCCTCCTCGTGGCTGACCTGCCGGGCCAGCCCTGAGTCCTTCGACGCCGTCTCCGAGAGGCCGTTCTCCCGCTGGCCCCGCGTCTGGCGCCGGGTGGCGTAGCTGCGCCAGACCGAGCTGGTGCTGAAGTCCTCGTCCTTGCAGAAGTTGTCATCCGAGCTGTCCTCGTTGGACTCCTCGGGCTCCTCGGAGGCCGTGTTCTCGTCGTCGTCGTCTTTCAGGTTCACACCGCTGCTGTCCGAGGAGCACTTGGCCTCGCTCTCGTAGCCTTCCTTCGAGTTCTCCACGCTCTCAATGTGGTCCAGGTTGGCAAAGTACTCGTCGCCCATCTCCAGGCCCTCTTTGTCGGCAAAGTCATCCGTCAGAATTTTCCCTGCGCGGGTGGAGCAAAAAAGTACGGTCACCGCCCTCCTCCACGCTTCTCAGCCTCACAATCCTTGTAATGGATAGCCTGTCTTTCTCCCAACCTTGAGAAGCGAGGGGGTGAATTAAAGCCGGGGTGGACTTGATTTAAATTTTAAAATTCAGATACTTAAAAAGATTTACATGTTTAAAAAATCATTTATTAAAATTCAAGCCTTGATTTCAATCATTATTTAAAACAAATTGATTTTTTAAAAAACAGATTCTTATCCACCCTGATTGAAACACAGTTAAAAGTTTTTTTTAAAAAACTGAACAAACTCAAATGATTCTAAACCATATTCTGTGTCCTGAATAGACTACAGATAGACCTAATGGCTGAAATGCTCTTGTACAGTTAAGCAAATGGCGTAACTGATGCAAGCAAACTGCCCTAAGTTAAGAAATCTCCCTAGGCATCATCTGTTGCATGCAGCATCGCATGACCAAGGATGCCTCTGATAATGTCTACAGAGATTTCTTAGTGGTACCTTTGCTTCTAAAAGTTACACTATTTGAGTAATCAAGCCACAGGATTCCAGCCACTGAATCCACTGCTCGATGGTAAATCCATGTTTATGTGAATGTCTTCAATTCAATTTGCTGGGGGAATCTGAACAGAGGTGTGACTCGATATGACATGGAGCCGCTCTGCAGGGCTGTGCTTCTCCCCCACCCCTGCTCCCTGCCCCTCGCCAGCAGGGCCTTACCAGCGTAGATGCAGACGAAAGAGCCCTTGGCAATGTCGTCCAGGCAACGGATGCCCCAACCCTTGTTCTGGGTCTTGAACAGCTGCAGCCGCACCTGGAGGCCATGCTGCACCAGGCGGTTGGTGCACATGTTCCGGTTGCACCTGCAGCGCTTGTTGCACTCGTACACTCTGGCGTGGACGGGGAAGAGAGCGCAGGGAAAATCAAGGCAGAGACTGAACATGGCAGATCCCCACTAGCCACCTTCACACCCAGTATTGGGGGGGGGGAGCCAGAGTTGGGCCCCTCCCGGGGGAACCCAAAAGAACCAGGACTCCCAACTCACCCTGTCGGAAGGCACTCCTCCAGCCTCTTGTATTGGTATCCGGAATTGGGGTTGATCTGGCCTCCGGGGGTGCAAGCAGTGGCCTGGATGGTGAGCTGGTGGCAGGCGCATTTAGATCTTAGAAAGAAAATGGAAACATATACATACACACACACACACACACACACATCCCATTAGCAGAAAAGAGCTTCTAAAACCAGATCTATTGGAGGGGTCAGGGGAGAGAGAGAAGTGAAGTTTAAAGCACCGTGTCTTGGTTTCTCTTCTAGGTCCGTAAAGTGTCAAGGCTCCCCCCAAAGGTACCTAAGCCCATGCTTCTCGAGCGGGTGGCCTGGCAATTTTCAACTACAGCTCCCACCTGCCAAACCAACAAAGCCCAGCAGACTGGTGCTAATCGGTGTGGCTGTCCACTGGAAGGGAATTCAGGTGGAAACAGCCTCTCCCACTCCCACCCCCCCAGAGCCTGGTGCTCACTTGTCCCGGCAGCCATCCTCACAGTCACAGCCAACCAGGAACTCAGCCCGGGTGTTGATGAAGACCCCGTTGCCGGGGATGCGCTCCTTGCTGTAGGCCACCTGCGGGGGCGGGGTGTTGTCGATCTCGTTGACGCAGGAGAGGGGGACGTCCTCCTTGCCGTTGGTGATGTCCAGGATGTAGTAGAACGGCCTGTACGGCTGGAACTTCCGGTCCACCAGGACGTAGGGGTCCAGGCAGAACATCTCCAGGAAAAGGAAGTCGCACTCCGTCTCAAAGAGGTAGCGCTCGATCTCGGCCATGCTGCGCAGGCACAGGCCGCAGGGAGTCTTGTAGATGACGTGGAAGCCCGTCTTGCGGTTGATGCGCCGGCGGGCCGTCATGCGCCGGAAGTCGTAGAGGAGCGGGATGAGGAGGGGGTTCTTGCTACGGTACTGGTCGGTGCAGTACGGGCGCACCCGGGAGAGGCAGGTGTAGCTGCAGACGTGGGGCAGGTAGAACAGCTTCTCCACGGGGGCTCGGTACGAGGGCTCGTTGGGCACCTGGTCCAGCATGTTGTGGAACGGCTGGGCAGGGCTGCCCGCAGGCTGGGCGCCCGAGAACCTGCAGCAGAGAGAGAGGGAGGGATGGGGAGAGAGAAGGGGATGGAGTTGGCAGAGGCTTTGGGCCCTTCTCTCGGTGAGGATGATGCACATGCGTGGTGTTGGTTCCAGCCTCACTTGTCAACCCAACGCAGCACTCACCGGAACTGTTGCGTCACCCCTGTCCTGCCGACGGGGGGCGTTTCGCTCGGGACTGGGGAGGATGGAGAGGGTGGCCCCGATCCCACCGAGCCAGGGCGCAAGAAAGATGTGCTCTTCTTTGCCACCTGCTGCTTCTTGGCCTGGGAGAGCTGGCTGTCGGGGCTACTGCGCGGAAGACAGAGAGCAAGAGAGGCGGCGTTTGGGAGCAGAATGCTCACCATCTCTGGAACTAGGACACGGATGACCCCTCAGGTGCTGGCTTCAGAGCAGCCTTCCCAACCCTGCTGTCCCCCTAGTGGGTTGGGTTACAATTCCCACCATCCCCAAACCAGCCTACTCTCCAGCCAGCTTCAAGGAAGTACTTTGATGGAGAAATCACACTGCAAGCTTGCTTCCTCCAAAGGACTGAGAAGATGAAAACTGTGGCTTCGGGAGCTCGTCATCCTGCCACCTTCATTCTGCACAGCCTTCGTCAGAGTTGCTACCCATTCAGAGTATTTTCTCTTTGAGCCGAAGCAGCAAAAGGGGGCCCCTTCCAGCCTCTATCGCCCTTCTGTGGGAGGGAGAGAAATGTGTGTCCGACAAAACCTGCCCACCAACTTACTCCACTTCAATGAACTGCGGTGGGGAAACTGGCTGGGACACCGCGACAGGCACCGGGGGCTGCTCCACGGGCTTGAACTGCTGCTGAGGGCTGGTCCCCGTTAGGTCCTGTGTGTACTGGACCACTGGCCCTTTGCTCCGCACGGCGCCTGGCAAAAAAAGGGAGCAGACAAGTTTAAAGAGGGGCCAAGTGCGTCGAGAGAGACAGGCCCCTTGCTTGGTTTCGAGACACTGTCTGGCGGCACATGAACCAAACGCAGATAGAAACCCCCAAGGCTCCCTGTTTCCACTCCAATGAATGAAAGCAAGCATAAGCTGCATTGGCTGGTCTTTGGTCCTCCATGCCGTACTCCTGAGGGTGGGAACCCTCGGACCTTGGGGTCAAATCAGGACAGCCTGGAATCCCTCTGAATCGGCCCTACAGGCTTTCTCCAGGCGGACGTGCTGTCCTTTGAAATATTTAACCTCTGTGTTGTTCCACCTGCTCTAAAAGACAGAAGTGCTTCTGTGTTGAAAACAACGAAGGGACAGGAATGAAAAGAATAAATAACACAAAAAGTGGTGTAGGAAAAACACTGGGAGACCCCGCTATGGAGTCAATAGGTGACTGGAGGTGCGAGTTCAAAAGTCTCTGCTGGACTCGTCCTTGGGTAACCATGTGTGTCTCCCTTTCCACTTACGAATGGGGCTGATGGCAAAAGTATTTCCTTTTTTGAGTCAGGATCCAACAGGGGCACCTACCGACATTTGGGCGAGTCCTCATTTGCCCTCCCTGTTTCTTTTCCAGGGTAGAGGCGGTGGAGGTCTTCATGCTGAACATGGGCTCCAGGCGGGTGGAGCCCCGGTAGATCCACTCACAGCGCTTGTCATCCTGCCAAGACAGAGCAAGGAAACGGCAACTGAGGTGCAGCTGGGAGAGGGAACGCGCACGAAGACCACAATCAAGTACAAATAGCGGAGGCCATTGGCTCCAATAACTGTGGTGGCATGAAACTGCTCTGGGTTTTCGTCCGAACATTAAAGGAGCTACCCAAGTCACTGCACCCATTCTGAATACAGGGTTCACTGAGAACGTGAACTGGATACCACCTGGAAAGTTCAATCTAAAACTCACAGAACATCTGCTGCTTCATTAAGATGAGGGGCAGCTGTTACCATAAAATACAGTAGGACCCCCCCATGCACAGGATCAGTATCCACTGATTCACCTATACACTACCTGAAAGCTATAAATAAATAAATACATAAATAAATAAATAAATAAATAAATATTAAAAAAACAAAAGTAACATATTTATATGTATTTCCAGGGTGTATTTTCCAGAACTGGCCACTAGATGGAGCCAGAGACCAACGCTTCTGGCGGTTTTTTCTGCATCTGCAGGTGGGCAGTCCTACTACTGTACATAAAAACATGCAGGCTTGTCTGTTGGAACAGCATTTGTCTGTCGGTCACCAGGCACTTCGAGTGCTATACTCTCTCCTCTCCTGTAGGTGGCACTCATGCAGGTCAGAAATCCCGCAGGACCCAAACTCAACAATCAGGAAGAGGATTTGGAGATGGGATGGAAGGAATCTTGGCACTTCGAAATGTGATATTCCATGGCAAGAGGAAACCCAAACTAGAGGAAAAGATAGGAAATACCTGAGCCGGGCCTACTAGGAAGAGGATTTTGACCAAACTACCATCCACTTCCTCCACGCGAGATTTCCACCAGGTCCCGTCCCACTCGGTCTTGATCTGCTGGCCGCTCTTGAGCAACACCATCGGCCGGTTGGGATAGGCGGTGATGTACTCCTCGATAAAATCCCGGCACGAGATGTCTTCGATATCCTCCCAGGACTTCTTGACTGCCGAAAGAAAAAGTGCTGTTCATCGAGAAAGGGGAGAAAGAGGAGGAAACGCCACTCCTCAGCCCTCGGCGTCCCGGAGGACCAGGGCAGCTGGTCAGAGCAGACGTTAGTGGGCTCAAGGAACTCGGGGCCAAAGGAAGGGCGAGGCAGGTTGCCCCTCTCCGAAAGATCTAAAATTGAGGTGGCTAATGGCACTTCTCCAGCCAGCATCATCAAGGGGGCTTTGGAAAGGATTCATTTATTTACTGGGTTAAATATTCCAGCCCAACTCACAGGGCTCTGCAAATGGAAGAGCAGCAATGAGGAATAAAAGGAACCTTTCGAAACAGCAATAAAAACCAAACCAGCCAAACAGAGTCATGTTTCTCAAATACTAGAACATTCATCTAATTGTGAGGTTGCCGATGAAGACGATGGAAATACAGTGAGTCACCATTTATGTGGGTTCTGCCCTGCTTTGAGTGGAGGATTTCAAAAGCCAGCAAAAAAAAAAAGGCAACAGAAACAAAGAAACACACCCAGGTCTGAAATGCTTGTCAGCAGACAAGAGGTCTGATGGGCAACGCTTGTTTGGGGGACAGAGTGAGTACCTTCGGTAGCTCCGACAAGGTTCGGATCAAAACCTGGAGTGGGTTTTTGTTCCCATGGACAACCAGCCTCTGTGGTGTCTAAAAGCTCCAAGTGAGGGTGCCGGAGGTTGTGCGTGTTTCTCTCTCTCTCTCTTGGAAGGAGAAGAGAGAGAAGGATCTTTCACAGGCAACCACACGCCCACCTTGGCGGGCACCTGTAACCAGAGAGGAACCCCTGAGGAAGATCTCTGCGCTCAGGGAATAAGCAAGCCCCGGGATACTCACGGGGTCTGCAGATTAGGTAGAGCTCAGGCTGGATGACGTAGGAGGCATAGCCATCGTCAAAAAAGATGAGGAACCTGGAAGGGGAGGAGACCAGCAAAAGGGAGCTCGAGTCAGTATCGTTCTAAACCACTGGAGAAGAACAGAGTCGGCAGACAACGGGAGAAACACGGAGCCTGGACAGGAAAAGGGACCAAAGGGAAGAGGAGCAAACTTGCAAGCCAAGATTAAAGCCTGCCTCTCTTTGGCCTGCTGGGAATGAAAGTGACACGGAAAACCATGTCAAGGAGGAGCCCAGCAGACAAAAGTTCACTCGGAGACCTTTAAAGGAAGATTAGGTAACTTCACGGAGGGTATGGCTGCCGTGGCTACTAGCCAGTACGGCTATAAGCCCCTTCCAGTCTCAGAGGCGGTATTGCCCCTAATGTAAAATAGGCATCGTGCTGAATAACCAACCCTCCGTGGTAGTCTCTGGCAGCAAAAACCATAAGGAGACTTGTGGTACCTTAAAATCTAACCAGCCTTAACTTTCACAACCCTCGCCAGCTTAAGAGGTCACACAAGGCTCTTGGCAGCTTTTGCTCCATCACCCTTCCTTTGAAAATATCCTACGGGAAGCCTCCTTCCTGACCTCATCTTGTTCTTGATGTTGGGCGTCTCAGCCACGATGCCAGCGTAAAGCCACACCTGGTTTCCGTCCTTGTATTTGGCCACAACCCGGCTCCCCACGTGAAGCTTGTCAGCGTGCGGGTGGGAATCGTAAGCAATATGGTTGCCTGACAGCAGGCTTTTTCCTTTGTTATCAAACTTCACCTTGTATTTCTTCCCAGGACCTGAAAGAGGAAGGCCAGAAAGAAGGAGACTAAGATGAGTCACAACCTCAAGAAGAAGGGGATGCTTAAAATCTGGTCCAGAGAAGGAAATATAAGGTAAGAAACACCAGCGCTTGAAGGCTTTTCCTCCTCAAAAAGAAAATGATTCAAGGATAAGAATTGCCATTTTGGGGAAGATATGGTAATATTTGTTTGGCTGCGGAATCACAGCTTGGAAATAATACATCACACAGAAATTACAATGTTAGCGCTTCTGGGAGGCTTCCTGGACCACTATTAGCCTTCCAGAGAAGCCAGCTGGTTTGATTTTTGTTACAAAGGGTATCACTTTTGGGGAGCAGAGGGGAGGAAAGGCGACAATCTTGCTTGAGCTCCAAAACTTCTGAATTTAGTAGAGGAAAAAAAGTAGAAATCCGTTTACTTTGGGGTATAGCATGTAAAACAAGCCAGTTTTACTTTGCCCCCAAAGAATCTGGCTCAACACAAGCACCAAAGAGACACAAGGAAGATGCTTTGTTCCATCTCACCAAAGCGGTATGGAAACATCAAGGCGGCCAGGCGAGCAACGAAGGGAGGGCGCCACCCCCACGAAGGATCTTTCTCAGGCAACCACACGCCCACCTTGGCGGGCACCTGTAACCAGAGAGGAACCCCTGAGGAAGATCTCTGCGCTCAGGGAATAAGCAAGCCCCGGGATACTCACGGGGTCTGCAGATTAGGTAGAGCTCAGGCTGGATGACGTAGGAGGCATAGCCATCGTCAAAAAAGATGAGGAACCTGGAAGGGGAGGAGACCAGCAAAAGGGAGCTCGAGTCAGTATCGTTCTAAACCACTGGAGAAGAACAGAGTCGGCAGACAACGGGAGAAACACGGAGCCTGGACAGGAACAGGGACCGAAGGGAAGAGGAGCGAACTTGCAAGCCAAGATTAAAGCCTGCCTCTCTTTGGCCTGCTGGGAATGAAAGTGACACGGAAAACCATGTCAAGGAGGAGCCCAGCAGACAAAAGTTCACTCGGAGACCTTTAAAGGAAGATTAGGTAACCTCACGGAGGGTATGGCTGCCGTGGCTACTAGCCAGTACGGCTATAAGCCCCTTCCAGTCTCAGAGGCGGTATTGCCCCTAATGTAAAATAGGCATCGTGCTGAATAACCAACCCTCCGTGGTAGTCTCTGGCAGCAAAAACCATAAGGAGACTTGTGGTACCTTAAAATCTAACCAGCCTTAACTTTCACAACCCTCGCCAGCTTAAGAGGTCACACAAGGCTCTTGGCAGCTTTTGCTCCATCACCCATCCTTTGAAAATATCCTACGGGAAGCCTCCTTCCTGACCTCATCTTGTTCTTGATGTTGGGCGTCTCAGCCACGATGCCAGCGTAAAGCCACACCTGGTTTCCGTCCTTGTATTTGGCCACAACCCGGCTCCCCACGTGAAGCTTGTCAGCGTGCGGGTGGGAATCGTAAGCAATATGGTTGCCTGACAGCAGGCTTTTTCCTTTGTTATCAAACTTCACCTTGTATTTCTTCCCAGGACCTGAAAGAGGAAGGCCAGAAAGAAGGAGACTAAGATGAGTCACAACCTCAAGAAGAAGGGGATGCTTAAAATCTGGTCCAGAGAAGGAAATATAAGGTAAGAAACATCAGCGCTTGAAGGCTTATCCTCCTCGAAAAGAAAATGATTCAAGGATAAGAATTGCCATTTTGGGGAAGATATGGTAATATTTGTTTGGCTACGGAATCACAGCTTGGAAATAATACATCACACAGAAATTACAATGTTAGCGCTTCTGGGAGGCTTCCTGGACCACTATTAGCCTTCCAGAGAAGCCAGCTGGTTTGATTTTTGTTACAAAGGGTATCACTTTTGGGGAGCAGAGGGGAGGAAAGGCGACAATCTTGCTTGAGCTCCAAAACTTCTGAATTTAGTAGAGGAAAAAAAGTAGAAATCCGTTTACTTTGGGGTATAGCATGTAAAACAAGCCAGTTTTACAAAGTGCTAAACATGTTTAACTTCAACAAGGAAACTCAACCTCTCCCTTCATTCAATATGGGAAAAGGAGCGTTGTTGTTGCTGTTGTTGTTGTTACTGTTACTACTATGGAAAACATCAAGGCGGCCAGACGGCCAGGAGAGCAACGAAGGGAGGGCGCCACCCCCACTCACCCACGTTCTGGATGGCGATCAGGGTGCCCTTGTGCCACGTCTTGGTCCGCTTCTTGCCCAGGACCCGGTCGCCGACAGCAAGGTCCCCGTCCTGGGTAATCTCGCAGCCGGGGCTCAGCTGCTGGGATCCTGGAAAGGAAAACCTTGGGAGGTTCCTGCTTGTCTCGTGGACCTGATCTTCGAGAAGCAGGCGGTGGAACCCTTGCCCGCCTCTAGATCTGTGTTCTTTGGACTACAACTCCCAGAAGGCCTACAAGCAGGGTATTTTATTTCTCTATAAATCACATTCATAGGTCAGTTTTCCTGCAATGAGCTCAGGGCCTTTCTCGCCCTATTCTCTCCATCTCATCTTCAGGAGGCAGATAAGGCTGACACCGCGACTGGACCAAGGTCACCCTGCGAGTTTCACAGCTGAGTAGGATTTGAACCCGGATCCCTGCTAGCTTAACCACTCTAACCACCGTATGTGGCTCATTTTCCTCTTGGCTCTCTGCTAATTCCTGCAGAAGGCCACAGGATTCCTATTTCAGCTAGAAGGGCTTGGTTTTGGCTCCTGGGCTAAGACTTTACGTTCAAGATCCCACTGTTGCATTCAGTAAATGTGTTGGCTAACGACATCAAAAAAATCAGGGTAACCCCTCTATGTCCCCCTCACAATCTGTGACTCCCAATCTGAGAAGTCCGCTGGCTTCCTTCAACTGATTCCCCGGGAAACCTTCTTAACGCACAGATAAATGCGGACCTACCTCTCTGGAAGTCAAAGCTATTGGACTTTTTATTCACTGCGTCCATGAACTTCTGTACATCCTGAGCGGACTTCCTCATGGCAGCCATGGCTTCTCTGAGCTGTGAGGAACAGAACAGACATTTCTCTGTTGTTGTTCTTAACTATCTGGGAAGAAATTCAAATAATCATGTGATCTGAACTCAGATGGGGCAGATTCTTTACTCACTGCAGTATTCAGGATACTTGGGGGAAAAAACTGCAAAAATTAGTTACATGACAATAGTATTTATTATTGAGAGGGAGAGAATATCTCAACCAAACCATAGAGGAGGTGATATCTGAATCAGGAGCTTTGCCATGTGATCGTTCCCTGTCTTGGCTGTGGGACCCCAAGCATAGGAAGGTAGACTATTGTTCTAAAAGGGGTGGGGCCGTTTGATCAATCCAGCTCTGATGCTTAGCTTCGGCTGTCATGTCCTGAGTTCTTAGGACCGATCACAACCGGCAGCTGATGGAAGAAATAAAAAAGAACACAGCCACCCAGAGACCTCTGGGTAGAGTGGGTGGCATATAAATTAAATAAAATAAATAAATAAATAAAGTTAGGCATCCTTCAGTCTCGAAAGACTATGGTACCGTGCTCTGTATGGAGGACTTGGAGCAGCGTCTAGTGTGGCTGAGGAGGCCGATTCGAGAGTGACAGTCTCTTCCAACATTCCAGGTGCCCAGCTTAAGGGCAGAAGTTTTCTTATGATTCTTATAAATAAATAAATATTGCTTGATTAAATGGGCCAATCGCACCCCCCAACACGACATCCATGCCATAAACTCACCAATGATTGGTCCTTCGCAATTTTGTTATTTGCATCTGTTGTAATGTAAAAAAAACAAAAACAAAAAGCCAAAACCACAAATATTTAAAAATGAGAACTGAACAGAAAATAATCAGTTGCACACACACCCCTCTGTAGGGCAGTGGCAGAACCACAAGACACAACTTCCTGGGGCAGTTTGTACCACACCGATGATCTACACTTGCAGAATCTTACTATCACATCACTTTGGCAGAAGCCCTTTGATGATGTAGCTTTATCCTCTTTCCCACAATTAATCAAGTTTAATTTTTATTGTTCTGTCCTTAAATATAACTTTAAAATAATTTACAGGAAAATCAAGAATTGATTCTATGCTTCTACATGAGCACCCTTGGGTGTTCTTTTTGGGTCCCAAAGCTGGCACCGACTCAAAAAATGGGTTAATGACACAGAACACTAGCTTCTGAATGTCCCCCCCTCCCCGCACACACTTTTCATGACTAGCCACAGTTGGAGATAGAAAACTGGGGTAGATGGAAATTTGGCCCCAACCAGCAAAACATCTCACCTGAGTCAATACTCATGATGTCGTCATCATCCTCATCTGGTATCTCAATCACTTCTGTAGGTTTGGAAGAGCCTATCTCTTCTTCTGAGTCCGTCTCCCGGTACTCCAGGCCCAAATTTGCATATACATCCTTCACTAGCACCTCACATTTATCTACAGCTCTGTTTTTTTTAAAAAAAGGAGAAGATTAAAATGCTTAAGGTTGTTGGGTTTTTTTTGGGTTATGCTTTCCTTTTTTGGTCTTTCCCCCCGTATTTTATTAAAAATAACAAACGCTAAAGTGCTAATACCAAAAGTAGCATTTTGGAGGACCCTAGACTTTTCTGCTGGGATATCTAATTTTTAGAATTGTCTGAAGGAGTACATTTTCTAATGCCTTAAATCAGGGTGGGAACTTCTAGCCCCTGTTCTGTTGTTCTGGTTGCGTTAAGATTCACATCAGCATCAGATAAGACAGACAGTGGTGAGGAATTCTGGGAGATGTAATCCAGCATCAAAAATGCAAATAAAATTAAGAGATGCTGACCTAAGCAGAGTATGATCTGCCAAAATCTTCCACAGGGGATTGGCTAGCAGACTTTGGGGAGCACAGGCCGCAAAGGGCATCACATTCATTGTCACACTTACTTCACAGCACTGTCCAGGAGCTGGTCCACGTGGGCCACCTCCGCCTCCTTCTGCTTCACGCACTCCTCCAGGGACTCCAACTCCTGCTTCCGCTGCTTGATGGACTCCGACTTTTCCAGCTCCTCTTCAATCAGCTGCCTGAGATCCTCCAGGGAGATGCCGAGCTCCTCCATCACCTCTCGCTGAAGCTCCATCATCTCTGGGGACTCCGCCATAGTGGCAGAAGCTGAAAAACAAAAGAGTCCTTTCTGTCTTCCAAGGAATCCCAAATCCCCCCCTCCCAGAATCCATCCACACACCCCAAACTATCTGCCTTTAAGGAATGCAGCAGTTTCACACACACACCCTGTACATCCCACCTGTCCCTCATTCAGGCCCCCTCACACATCACTCTTCTGGGGCCACCCCCTCACGGCTAACTGCAGACCCTCCTCCCAAAAACCAGTCCCTCCCAGCTCTAACTACTGAGCTCCCAGGCCTCCCATATAAAGGTCCCGCTGCACCCCATAGGCAGAGCCCCTTGGGGTCCCTTCCCCCCACCTTTGGAAAGACAGGCGCCTCTCTCCGACCCCCCACCCTTGCAGACCCTCGACCCCAGTTCCTCACACCCCACACTCACCTGTCCCCCCCCCACCCTTTCCCCACCCCCTGGAATAAAAAGGGGGGATTCTTTAGCCTGGAACCGAGTCAAGCTGGGTGGGAGGGGCTTTTTTTGGAAGGACCGGAAACCCCTAAAACTCACTTCCGGGGCAGAGGACGGGGGGGAGCTTGGGTACCCACGGAGCCCGTTAGGCGGCCTGCGCGAAGGCCGGAAGAGGCGGGAGGATAAAGGGGGGGAACGCCCAAGCTTCTCTACTACGCATGCGTCGAGAAACAAGCGGCGGCTCGTTTGGGACGCAGCGCGCACGCGCAGGAAGAAGACTCGCGCCGAGGTAGGAGCAGAGATGTTCCTTTGTTGGCTCCACCCTCTCCTTGAGGGCTGGTTTACGCATGCGCTTTGTTCTGAGCTGCTTAAAGGGACAGTAACCCCCTCCTTCAGTTTCCATAAAACGACATTTTAATTGTTTTTTTTTGCAGGATGCTGGGCTTCCTTTAAAAGCAACAAAACCGTCTTGTGTATTGTGCTGTCCTGATTTTAATGAACATATATAAATTAATTTAAAAAAACGTAACTTAGACAAGAGATTATTTAAAATAGAAGATCATTCTATCTATAGATGAAGGACTGCAATATGCTTGTTATGTATAAGTTACATCAATATCCTTATCCTTCAATGACCTCAAGGTGCAAATCACAACTCTTACCTCCCTCTCCTCTTTCACTGTCACAACAGGTCAGACTCAAATTTACCCAACCTTTTCCCTTCAGTGTCATGCACACCGACAGACACCATCAGTCAAGCTGCTCCTCTTCCCACGTGGAGGTTGGGATGGCACTGTATGGGTCCACAATCAGCTTGGCGCACCGCACCATCATGAGCATGAGGAAGAAGCACATCAGCGAGAGGAACCCAAGGCAAATGCTTTGGTCCACGTCCACGAAGGTCTCTGGGGTCGGATTCTCCATGGGGCCTGGGGTGACCGACCACGTCTCATTAGATGGATGGAAATGTTCCCATCAACTGTGGGAGGGGAGGGAAACGTAGGAGCATGGCTCTGTTACAGTCTTGACTGGTTTCAGATGTCCCTTCTTCTTTGTACTCCCTTCACCTAGGGATTTTTGGAGTATCTGCACTACTATTTTGGATTCCCGGAGGTCTGCTAACAGTGGAAATAAGCAATGTGATTCAAGTCTTCTTGAGTTCCCTGATGTGGGTTTAATTTAAAGCCAGAGTTAGATAGTTTTCCTGACTCGGGTGTTTACTGGATGCTTGACATCCAAAATCTGTTGTTCAATTAATTAGAGCTAGCTTTGTGATCGAGAAACCAGTTGATGAATGATACAAGAACATTATTGTCTTGTCTTATAGGGATAGTCAGAACATTCTATAATAATGGCACTCAGAGTTAGCTAGAAAATCCATAGACAGCTGCAACTCTGACCTTAGCCGCTAAGGCAAATGCAGTGCTATGCAGTGGCTAGAGTAAGAGCCAAAGTTAAAAGACGACTCAAGTCAGAAGCCAACAAAATCAGTTTGAATCGATCAAGGTTTTTTTGTAGCATAACATAAAAAAGGTTTAAAGGAAAGCTGTGATAAAGAATGCAATAGAGAAATAAATCCTAGGAACGCCCCCAAATACATGCATTTGTTTTCCTTTCCAAAATAAATAAAATGAAAAGCTCTGCCTCTATGGAATAGAAAGAACAGAGCTAAGAGATATATTGGAGGTAGAAAACGTAGTGGCGTTTTTTCTCTCTACTGGAATTACAGTCTTCTCCAAGCTCTGGGTATGAGGATACTGTAAAAGAGAGACATTTGTGATGGTTAAACCTGAAAAAGGGGCACTGTGAGACCTATTGAGATGGTTGGAAAGTTATTTAAGTGAACTGAGAAGTGCAGAAAAGAAACAGAAGAATCTCTTTGAAAGAGTAAACTGCATCCAGTCCAACGGACTTGGCTCTTACCGTATGTCCGGAATCTGACACAAAGGCATTGCTCAAACCGTCAGAGAATCTGCCAGCGTTTCACTCTTGCCTCTGTAGTACAGTGCCAAAAGCAGGCTTCACCACCAGGCAGTTTCAGCTCTCCTCTGCTGTCAGCTAATGGTGTCATGAATACTTCACAACTTGCCTGGCATCGCATTTCATCCACTCCCTGTAATGATGGTGAGATGATACTTTGAAAATTCAATTATGCATCTTCAGTCACCCAGGAAGAAAATACTTCCATCCATTGTTTCTGATTCTTTCACCACTTCTACGCTGTCCAATAAGCTCTTCAGCTTTGGGTCTGGAACAGATCAAGCCTTAGAAAAATTGGTGTCTGAGTTAAGCACAATTCTACGCTGTCCAATAAGCTCTTCAGCAATGGGTCTGGAACAGATCAAGCTGGACTTAGCCTTAGAAAAATTGGTGTCTGAGTTAAGACAAGAGTGCCTCTGAGCAAGTACAAGGTGGAATCTCAAGTGTTAGTTGTCCAAAAAAATTTTTTTTTCATGCCACATTCAGGGGATACGTGGACAGACTGCCATTTGTGTTGATGCATGGTGTCCTATATTTATTTATTAGTTTAACCTCCAACAGATCCATTGTGTTGTAGTGATGCAAGGTATGTTTGTGATTCAGACTAATCTACCACCATGCAGCTTTGCCTCACCTAAACTGGGGGGAAAAAGTTCCTGCTGATGTCCTTGCGGATGAGACCACACACTGACCTTCAGTCTGAGCTTGATCTAGCAAGGATCATGTATTGCTACGGTGCCACATGCAACATCTGGAAAATTTCTGGAACAGAATTTACAACAAGTTTGGGGCTTATTTTAACGAATGGAGAAGTAACAATAAAAAGCGGTATTTTCTATGCCTTTAACTAAATATTTAATAAAATTAACCTTTATCGCTAAATATTTAATGTTACATGTTCTGTAGAACAAAAAAGAGTGAGCTCCCGTCACTTGTCCCAGCTCCCGCCAACCTAGCGGTTTGAAAGCATGCAAATGCAAGTAGATAAATAGGGACCACTTCGTTCCGTGTCTAAGTCGCACTGGCCATATGACCACGGAAGATTGTCTTCGGACAAACGCTGGCTCTATGGCTTGGAAACAGGGATGAGCACCGCCCCCTAGAGTCGAACACGACTGGACAAAAATTGTCAAGGGGAACCTTTACCTTTGGGGCTTATTTTAACTAATGAAGAAGTAGCAATAAAAAGTGGTATTTTCTGTGCCTTTAACTAAATATTTAATAAAATTACCCTTTATCGCTAAATATTAAATGTTACATGTTCTGTAGAACAAAAAAGACTTCTTAAAATTATCTGTTTTCAATGTTCAGAAATTAGTTTAGTGGTTTACCTGAGGCAAAATGGGGATATGAAACGTTTGATACAGTTTTTACCACAGCTTTGGAAAGGTGGCTCATGATAATAAGCAACAATAAGGATGTGTTGCATTTTCATATGTGCAAAGCACTTGGCAAATATTTCCCCGTTACACCTTTTCCTACGTCATCCTGCGCAGAAACGTCACCAGCTACGGTTAAACGTCATTCTGGGACACTCGTCCCTCCTCCCAACTCTTAACTCAGAACCAGCCACTCATGACGTCTCCCTCGGCACTCCCGCGTCCTTTTAAACTTGCGTCACGGCCCATGCCGCTGACGTCACTATGTCTCCTCCCCTTCCCGACTACGCCACCCACGAGACCGCCTCGGAAAACCCCTTTTAAAACAGCGTCCTTCCTGGAAGCCACGCCCCTCGACATCCAAGGGAGAAAGAGAGGACACGCCCCCGGGCTGCCTCGGACCAATAGGAGAACCTTTGCCCTCCCCGTCACGGCTCGGCCCCGCCCCTTTCGCGGGGCTCGCCCGCAGCTGGAGCGGCCGCCATCTTGGAATTGGCGCTTGGCGAGAAGGGAGACCCGGAGGCGAAAATCTGGAGGGGAGGGGGGGTCCGTCCTCCTCCTGCTCCCCCCTGCTCCCCGGTCGCCATGGCAACGGCTGCTGCTAGCCAAGGTGGGTGACCGGGAAAGGAATGGGCGCTGGAGGGCCTGGCGGAGGGATGGAGGGAGAGAGGGATGGAGGGCAGTGGTG